ACCCCTTTTCCGGAAGGGGTTGCTCAGGACGATGCAAATAAAAAGGGCGTGAATTTTTTCGAAAATTCAGAGTTGTTCCTGGGTCGAAGTCCGGTGAGGATCTTGGTCGGGAGTCGGATGTGGAATTTTTGTCCATCAGGCTTCTGACTTGGAGATTCTTGCTTGAGGGTTTGATCCTTTGAGTGTGCCTTTAGTTTCTTGAAAAGAGATCCTTGCTGTTTTTGGTTTTTAAGGTAAGAATTTTGGGGTAGCTAGTCCCAGAATTCCTATTATTTTTAGTTTGCTCCGAAGACCTGATTCGTGCAGGTCGAGTATAGTTCACTTAACTTCGATGACCTGGTTCTCAGGTCGTATTTTTAGTTTCTTCTCTACTTTGAAGACCTGATCAGGTCGGGTGCCATAGCTGGCCAAAGAAGTGTTTTTCGACGAGTGTGGTGGCGCCCAAGTGGTTCGTCAAAAAAGTGTTTGTTTTTTAGAGAAGTCAGTGCCGATGTTCTCGTGATCAGATCATCTTAGAGGAGGAGGTGTTTTTATTTCTCCTCTTTTCTTTGATGATTGATTATAAGCATCGGGGGAGTTCGACTGAGAGGTTTTTTACCAGAAATGAGTGATCAGATCATCTTAGAGGAGGAGGTATTTTTATTTCTCCTCTTTTCTTTGATGATTGATTATAAGCATCGGGGGAGTGCGACTTGGGCTTACCAGAAATGGTTTTTTGCCCCCCCCTCTTTTATGGGTTTTTCTTTTGCGGTGTATTATTATTCGTTTCCCGTTTTTTTTTAGAGAAAAAATTGTTTTTTGAGTTGAAAACAAGTACATTTCATTTAAGCAAATCAACGAGGCAGATTTCTCTTAAGAAAATGTCAGAGTCAGGTAAGGTTCCGGAGCCATTTGTTGGGGAGGAAGAACCAAATGAATCATATAGTGAAGTTTTGGAGGATCAGGGGGAAGTTTCTCAGCTTCCGATCCTTCTTCAGGAGTCGGAGGATGAGGAGGAGGTGACTGAAGGTAGATATATAGATACATAGTTATATTTGGAAAAAATAGAAAACCTTTGTTCGATTTATTTTTTTTATCACTATCAACTTGTAGTTCTCCTAGAATTCCCTAGCCCCCTCCGCAGTAATCTGGTTTCAGTCCGCCTTGGTCTCCACCACCATTTCGACGGTTTTAGCCGTCTTTTATAACGACTCTTCGAGGTTAGAAAATCGGAGGAAGGTCTGCAGCGTATGGGTGATTTTTTGCCCTTTCTTGAGGCGGAAACAAATGCAAAGATTGGGCGGGATGGGTTAAAAGTAGAACTGGAGCGTCTGAAGAAGGAATCTCAGCAATATGCTGAGAATATCTCGAGTCAAAGACGAGTTCTTCAAGCGATTATGGCAGAGAAGGAGAAGCTAGAGAGACAAAAACAAGAATTGGAGGAAAGTCAAGAGACTTTGGAGGTACTTAAAGAAAGGGAGGAGAGCCAAAATGCAATTCTAGAAGCTTCTCTGACAAATCAATTGGAGAGACATGCGAGTGTGTTTCAAGGGGCACTGAGCGGTATCAATGAGATTTACTTGGCTGAAGGGTTAGCAGTAACTGCAGTTGCAAGAGGTAAAGATATCAGAGATGGCCCAGTGATTGGGAAATAATTAATAATTGGTTTTGGTTTTAATTTGCATAGCCTTCCCAGCTGGGAATCTTCAAACATGGTCGACAGGGTCAACAAAAATCCATTTTGGCAGCCCTCAGGCTATAAAAGAATGTTGGATGAAGGAGGCTGTGGAAGCCTCGAAGGAACGTACAAATAACAAACGTGCAATTACTGAATTATTGAGTATGCTGAAAGGACCAGAAGTGGCGGGGGGCAAGCGTCCAAGGACCTCCACAAGTGTTGAGGAGATAGACTTAACAGAAGGGGGAGGATCCGGAGAAAACAAAGCGATGGATCTACAAGTAGCTACAGTGCAGGTGGAAACAAGAAGGTTTGCCCTTCCTAGAGGGACTGTGGCCCGACCTTCGTCGCTGCCAGGAGTGTCGAGTGCAAGTGATTTTAAGGCAAATACCGAAGAAGATTTTCTTGAGATCCTTGAGCCATGTAAGTTTTTAATCAGATTGAGAGAAATCAGAAGAAATACTATGGGGTTCCTTTTGTTTTGCTAGTAAACTTGAGCTATTTGTCCCTTCTCAGGGAAATCAACACTGCCGCTGGTGCCGAGAAAAAATTCCGCACAAAATCCCCCCCTTGTCCTTGAGTAACCCCTTTTCCAGAAGGGGTTGCTCAGGACGATGCAAATAAAAAGGGCGTGAATTTTTTCGAAAATTCGGAGTTGTTCCTGGGTCAAAGTCCGGTGAGGATCTTGGTAGGGAGTCGGATGTGGTATTTGTCCATCAGGCTTCTGACTTGGAGATTCTTGCAGGAGGGCTTGATCCTTGAGTGTACCTTTTTAGTTTTTTGAAAAAGAGACCCTTGCTTTTGTTTTTGAGGTAAGAATTTTGGGGTAGCTAATCCCAGAATTCCTATTATTTTTAGTTTGCTCCAAAGACCTGATTCGTGCAGGTCGAGTACAGTTCACTTAACTTCGATGACCTGGTTCTCAGGTCGTAGTTTTAGTTTCTTCTATACCTTGAAGACCTGATCAGGTCGGGTGCCATAACTGGCCAAAGAAGTGTTTTTTGACGAGTGTGGTGGCGCCCAAGTGGTTCGTCAAAAAAGTGTTTGTTTTTTAGAAGAGTCAGTGCCAATGTTCTTGTGATCAGATCATCTTAGGGGAGGAGGTATTTTTTATTTCTCCTCTTTTCTTTGATGATTGATTATAAGCATCGGGGGAGTGCGACTTGGGCTTACCAGAAATGGTTTTTTGGCCCCCTCCTTCTTATGGTTTTTTGGTGTGTTATTATTCGTGTTTTCTGTTTTTTTAGAGAATTTTTGAATTGAAAACAAGTTCATTCCATTAAGCAAATCAGAAAGGCAAATTTCTTTTAAGACAATGTCAGAGTCAGATAAGATTCCGGAGCCATTTGTTGGGGAGGAAGAACCAAACGAATCATATAGTGAAGTTTTGGAGGACCAGGGGGAGGTTTCTCAGCTTCCGATCCTTCTTCAGGAGTCGGAGGATGAGGAGGAGGTGACTGAAGTTCTCATGATCAGATCATCTTAGAGGAGGAGGTATTTTTATTTCTCCTCTTTTCTTTGATGATTGATTATAAGCATCGGGGGAGTGCGACTTGGGCTTACCAGAAATGGTTTTTTGGCCCCCCCCCTTTTATGGGTTTTTCTTTTGCAATGTATTATTATTCGTTTTTCCGTTTTTAGAGAATTTTTTGAGTTGAAAACAAGTTCATTTCGTTTAAGCAAATCAGAAAGGCAAATTTCTCTTAAGACAATGTCAGAGTCAGATAAGGTTCCGGAGCCATTTGTTGGGGAGGAAGAACCAAACGAATCATATAGTGAAGTTTTGGAGGACCAGGGGGAGGTTTCTCAGCTTCCGATCCTTCTTCAGGAGTCGGAGGATGAGGAGGAGGTGACTGAAGGTAGATATATAGATACATAGATATATTTGGGAAGAATAAAAACTTTTGTTTGGTTTATTTTTATTACTTAGTTGAACATCAAGAGGATCTTAAGGGATCGGGGGAGGCGTCATTAGACCAAAGTCAGGCGGAACCAGAGGTGGTGGTAAAGCTGCCAAAATCGGCAGAAAATATTGCTGAGAAGCTCCGATCTTTGTCGGAGGAAGGTCTGCAGCGTATGGGTGATTTTTTGCCCTTTCTTGAGGCGGAAACAAATGCTAAGATTGGGCGGGATGGGTTAAAAGTAGAACTGGAGCGTCTGAAGAAGGAATCTCAGCAATATGCCGAGAATATCTCGAGTCAAAGGCGAGTTCTTCAAGCGATTATGGCAGAAAAGGAGAAGCTAGAGAGACAAAAACAAGAATTGGAGGAAAGTCAAGAGACTTTGGAGGTACTTAAAGAAAGGGAGGAGAGCCAAAATGCGATTCTAGAAGCTTCTCTGACAAATCAATTGGAGAGACATGCTAGTGTATTTCAAGGGGCACTGAGCGGTATCAATGAGATTTACTTGGCTGAAGGATTAGCAGTAACTGCAGTTGCGAGAGGTAAAGATATCAGAGATGGCCCAGTAATTGGGAAATAATTAATAATTATTTGTTTTAATTTGCATAGCCTTCCCAGCTGGGAATCTTCAAACGTGGTCGACAGGGTCGACCAAGATTCATTTTGGCAGCCCTCAGGCTATAAAAGAATGTTGGATGAAGGAGGCTGTGGAGGCCTCGAAGGAACGTACAAGTAACAAACGTGCGATTACTGAATTATTGAGTATGTTAAAAGGACCAGAAGTGGTGGGGGGCAAGCGTCCAAGGACCTCCACAAGTGTTGAAGAGATAGACTTGACAGAAGGGGGAGGATCCGGGGGAAACAAAGCGATGGATCTACAAGTTGCTACAGTGCAGGTGGAAACAAGGAGGTTTGCCCTTCCTAAAGGGACTGTAGCCCGACCTTCGTCGCTGCCAGGAGTGTCGAGTGCAAGTGATTTTAAGGCAAATACCGAAGAAGATTTTCTTGAAATCCTTGAGCCATGTGAGTTTTTATCAGACTGATGGAAATTAGAAAAAATACTGAGGGGTTCTTTTTGTTTTGCTTTCTTTTCAGGGAATACATACCACCCCTTCAAGGCAAGCTCTTATGAGCCAGCGGATCCCTTAACGTACAAGAAGAATGTATTTAGGCGGATGGTGATCAATCCGCATAAATTAGAAAAATTTCCTCTTTATGTACTCCCAGTACCTGAGTGTGTTGTTCAAGATATGAATTATGGGACTCCGGCACACAAGTTATCTGGCCCAAAGGTTAAGAGTGAGGGGAAGGGCCCGTTCGTATTGATTTTAGGGACGTCGTTAACCGTCCCCTGGAGGCTGGCCCCTGGACAACGGACCTTTTGTGACAACATCAGGCCTGAGAAGGCGTCAACTCGGCCCATGTTTGATTTTGAACATTTATTGGAGGGAAGAGGCATTGAAGTTTTTCAGGTACGAGAGAAGGGGAAGAGGGGAATGTAAAAAGAGAAGATGAGAGGAATAAAAATGAATGAAAAAATATGATGTGCAAATGCTTCCCCCTTTTCTTTTTTAGTACTCGCTGAGTGGCTGGAGTGCCCTGGTGGGTTCTGGACAAGTGGTTAGCCCTGCGGCCATTAAGATGAGGGTTTACAGAGATCTGAATTTGGATTCATCCTTTAAGTTTACCCACATTTTTGTACGGGTGGGAACAAATGATTTAAAAAATCTAACGGATCCCGGTGCCACAAGGTACCCAAATTTTGGACATTTTTTGCAGGCCTTATATGGCTATTACGACGAGTTAAGTAAGGTGTTTAATGCGCCAGTGTTGGCTTTGGGGGCTTCTGCCCCTCCTGCATTGGGTCCTGGCTGCAACACGTATCTTACGGAACCTATGGACTTGGACGTTCAGGGGGTTCCCCTAATTCCTTTAAGGTACAAGGGGACCCCAATTTATGATCAAAGGAGCCGGGATTCGGCGGGACATGCATTTCAGATGGCCCTCTATACGGGGCTACACCTATGGACTTGGACGTTCAGGGGGTTCCCCTAATTCCTTTAAGGTACAAGGGGACCCCAATTTATGATCAAAGGAGCCGGGATTCGGCGGGACACGCATTTCAGATGGCCCTCTATACGGGGCTACGTACTAAGATCGGGAAGGTACAGGGATCCCCTGATGGGAAGGGTTGGTGGGCAGTGCCAACACCTGTACGCCATCTAGCAGCATATGACAGGACGGAGCGGACGAATCTATCATTTGGGCACATACATTCAAGAGCCTACCTATTCTTTGCCCAGCTGCATGCAGCAGCAATTTGCTTTGGACTGGAATGGACACAGTGCCAAGGAAAAACTTGGGGGGCTTATGCGTGTGCTGGAAGATGCCCCCAGTGGTTGGGTGATGGCAAGGCCAGCCCTGGGATCCCCCCAGCCCTGCCGCATTTTCACTGTACGGATCATGGGCCTAAGAATTGTGAGGGCAACGGGCCCTTTCATATTAACCCTGCCGTGTTCGGAGCAGGAGGGGATCCATTTAAACAGTGAGTTTTTTGAACAGGATCTCTGTTGGGAGTCATACTAAAATGTAATAAATTTTCTACCTATTTCAGAATGGACGAAGTTCTAAGTGCCAAGATGTTCTTGGAGGTTTTTTCAGTGGAGTTCTTGGTGTCGGATCCCAAACATCTCAGCTCATCGAGGATGGTGATTGGAACAACGGTCAGAGTCAAAGGATCGCGTCAGAAGAAATTCATTATCTCTAAGGCTGGAGATTTCGTTTGGCTTGTGGGGGAGGGGGGTTTAGATTTTGTACACATCAGGAATCTAACCAGGTTTTGAAAAGAAAAAGGAAAAAAAGGGGGGGGTTTGTTTTTCAACCCCTTTTTTCATAGTTTTGTACAAATTTTTGTGTGATATCTTGTATAATTTTGTGTATATGTGGGTGGAGGGTGGAGTTGGGATTTGGGGACGTCAATAAACAAGTTTTTTAGAAATTTGAACAAGCTGACTTCTCAATTTTTTTTTGTGTTTCACCAGTTGTGTTTACAGGGTTCATTCGAGGCTTCTTCGTTCACCCATTTCTGGGATTTTTTTTTTTACAGCCTCTTGGTTTTTACCCATCTCTGGGATTTCCAGTATAGGAGATCTAAGACATTTGAACAAACAGGGTGTGGGAGGGTTCTCAAAAATAGGAACCGGATGAAGTCCCCCCCCCCTTTAATTACTCAGGGAAAAATTGGCTTTTCACCAGTCAAAAAAGGTGGGACTGGGGTTTTGGTGGAATAAAGTTGTTTGCACTTTTCACAATTCTTAACAATATTTTTAGCCAATGTTCGAGCCCTCTTTACTCGAAAGGTTTGTTGTATAAAATTAAGAGAGGAATAAGGGGATGGATGTCCCATGTTTTGATGACATACATTGAGAAGTGACCACACAGGGCCCGAGGGTTTTCCCAGGTTTGGGGAGGGTAATTTACTCGAAAGGTTTGTTGTATAAAATTAAGAGAGGAATAAGGGGATGGATGTCCCATGCTTTGATGACATACATTGAGAAGTGACCACACAGGGCCCGAGGGTTTTCCCAGGTTTGGGGAGGGTAGGTAAATACGTGTTCTCTTGACGACATCTTCTTTTGGAATGTTACAAGAGTTTGGTCTTGGGTGAAAGTTAAGGGATAAGATAACATTAAATTTTTTACACCAGTAAAGGTCTGGCTTAGTGGATATGGACCCCCCCTGTTTCAGGGTTAGATACTCGGTTAAACAGAGGGATTCTTGAATTGACCTAACTTTTTTAAATAGATTTTCTAAGAGATTTAATGACTGAGTGTGGGATTCAAGAGCCCCATACACCAGTTGATATATTTCAGGAGTATCAGTATCCAGTATTTGGATTCCCGGTCTTCGGGTTGCCGGACTTTTGGTCCTCATCAATTTTTTTTTGAAATATAAAGGACACACTCTAATTTAAAAGATTCGGTAGAAGTTGAAAAAGGCTCAGAAATGTACTATGAGAGAACTAATACTGGAGACAGGAAAGTTTTTTTTTTAGGGTTGTAAAGAGTTTTTTAGAGACGTACACAGAAAAGAGCACAGCACAGGATAGGAAAAGGAGGTAAAAAATATTTTTCAGATACCTGATGAAGGTTTTTAAAAGAACGTGAAATACAAAACAGATTACTTGAGAAGAGCAGCACACAAACTTAATTCGAGAAAAAGAGTTTTCTTTTTGAAAAAGATGCTACGAATTTTTATTTTGAGGAGAGGAGAGAAGTCCGATCGGAGCTAGAAAATCACAAGTTTATTTAGAAGGTTTTCCTTTTTTGAGGCGCAGTGGAAGCAAAAAGAGAGATTTTTTTTTTTAGGCAGAACCACGCTCTGCTACCAGTTTTTTGTACGGTTTTACAAGAAGAAATATTTCAAGCCGTACACCTTGTTTTGAAATTAATTATAGGATCAGCAAAAAAGATTCAGAAGTTTATGACAATATTTGATGTTACTTGAAAGTGTGGTCAGAGAAGTGCTGAAAAGTAGAATGAATAAAATGTGACACGGCAATTGGCCGGTGCGCGAACCGACCAGGGATTCTCTCCCAAAAAAGCGCAAGCCTTTGTTAGATAAATCAGCAAGCAAAACACAAAAGTACAGAAATATTCACAACAGTTTTTCGGACCGCAAATATGCACAACAGGTTTTTCGCAGGTTAAAATTTCTGGCAAAGTACGAGATTCACGACGCAACGAAACGCTTCGACGGCAAAATTCGGACTGTGTCNTGTTTTCGAACTTGATCTTTGATACATCGCAATGTACTTGGATTTTCACTCCCAAGTTTTTTATTGCTGAGCCAAAAAAAGGTTACATATTTGACTGTTTTAAAATAAAACGTGAGAGCCCGAGAATTTTTTCAGTTCCTTTCAAGAACGATCTCAATTAGTTAGCGCTTCCGAAATATTGAGCAGTCTCAATGTATTTGAAATTTCTGGAAATAATGCTTCATAAGCCTGTGTGTTGGCCAATTATTCATTATTGGCTAGCGCAAAAAAATTTTCCACTTAATTCGGCTAAAGTGGACTCAGTCACCATGAAAGTCTAATTTTTTTGTCTGAAACAAACGATTATTTCGTTGGGATGATCAGAACATTTCACGTTGCAATATTGTAAGCAAAATTTAATTCAAATATTTATACTCTAGTTTTATATGCTAAATGAAATATTGTTACAACTAACTCCCATCAGGGATCTGACGAAAATTCGTTATAACGAGAAATTTGTTGTACACTATTCAGATTCATGGTTTTTTTCATGAAATTTTACCCTGGCATTTTGTGGGAAATGGGTAATGAATATCGTGAAGTGCTTCTAAAACAGATACCGTAATTCATAACCTGTCATATTTTCTGTCTTTTCCATGAAAACAAGAGAACCTTTTTTTTTAATTCATTAGTATTTTGGATGATGCATGGAATGCATAATTGTTTTTCAGCCAAGGAAACTAATATACAGTATTTTCCCCTGCGAATAAGTGCTTTGCATAGTGGACCACATAAAAATAAAATGTTTTGAATATACTTTTTATTTTGACACTTTCGTGGCCGGAGGCACGACTTTTCATTTGGTTGATCTGGAAAGACGAGCATTTTTTTGGTTTTGACCTATTATCGTTTGACTTAAAGTTGAACATTTGTAATTGAAACGTATTTTCATCGTGCGAACTTTTTGAGGGAAACTTCATCCGTTCGAGAATTTACAAACATCTGGAACTGATTTGAAGTAAATTAATCGAGGGTGATTTTCATCATGGACTGGCATCCACATATTTCACATACCATTGAATTACTCGATTATCTTTTCGATGAAATAGAAACTCCGTCCAAAAGGTTTCATTACAACTATATAGTTAAGAGAACACAATACAATATATCAGCACTGCGTGCGTATAATTGTCTCCCAAACAAAAATGAATGAACAGAACAATTTATTTGCCGCTTTTCAGCATTCACAAGGTTTAATCAAGATTTCCACAACCAAACCCCCTTCCCACCCAACCAAAATCCACTCAATGAAATTTAATCACTGCAGAGCAGGAAACAGAGCACAAATTGATAACAAAAATAAAAAATTCAATCCACGAAATACAACTGGACATCTGACATGTATGCGTACACATTCATTCCCTGACATTGGAAACAAAATATATGTAAAAATTAATTTAAAGCACAAGGTCTTCAGCTTGTTTCTGTATGAGGTTTAGTTGAATGAACAAATTAGAGAGAATCTTTGATGAGAAATCATATAAGGCTAACAGTTTATCTTGATCCTTTTAAGATTTCAGAAAGTGTCTCTTCATTGAATTCCAATACTTGTAAATCTTTCTCAAGCTTTTTTAAGCTTAAGCCCCAACAAGCTTCAAGATATTTAAATGCTCAAAAACACTGTATACAATAGTGTAGTTCGATAACACTGAAGTTTGACTTCCTCATTGCCCACGGACATGAGTTTTACGGACATCTTCAAGAAGCAGCGGGGAATTAAATCCAGCTCTGTCATAATTACGCTGCGGATCCTCGCCTCCGAGTAAAGCACAAATACACATAATAAAAACTCACTCACAGAATAATCGCATGCGCTTAATTTTCTTCCTCTCCCGTCGTTCGCAATTTAAAACAAAACTCCATTTTTCCAGTACTGTACTATCCTCACCAGCGTATTCACATTCCGAAAGGGCATCATTATGACGATGATTAAGAACAAGAGAAAAAAAAAAAGCACGAGTCAGAGGCGATCATAAAATAACCCACAAAAGGGTTATCAGGACCCCGTCTGACATTCATTTTACTGCCCCTGATGATGATACAAATGGGTCCTAAATCCCCGTGGAAGACTATATAGGCTTCAAAAAGTTGTTCTCCCCGTTTCAGGTTGAATAAAATAAGGGAAGGCAAAGTCTTTTTTTAATTTTGCAGCAGAAGAAAATTCGCATCACGATTTTTGAAAAAATGCTGACTTTGAAATTCAGTCTCGTAAATCAGAACCGCTGCACAGTTTTGACATTTTATTGAAGCACCCTGTAGCGAGAAAAACTCGTAAACATTTAATGCGAAATCCACCCCTGATGGCGAAAGCAGTTCATAATCATTAATATTTTGCGAATAAATTGAATTCTTCGGGTAAAAAAAAATTGTTTGAATTCCGCATCACTTAGGACAGCGAAAAAAACGGTTGAAAATTGTGTGTCACATATCGAACGGGATAAAACAGAAAAAAGTAGACCGCCTACGCATAAACACCAATAAATCCTTATTAATTAACGCTAATTAATACGTTTAAATATTCACATACTGTACATTGAAGTTCAATCAATGTTCCTCGGAATACAATCGAACTTCTGGTACTATTTTAATTTTTCTCACTGCCATGCACATTAAAAATTAGAATAGAAGAACTCGCGAACATTTTTAAAAATAATCATTGAAGCAGTTCGCATGCATAATGGTTGTCCCATTTCTAAGCGTCTTTGCGTGATTTACAGATGGTCGTGATGAGTCAAGAGCTTTCATTTGGTTGCTCTGTTGAATTCAAGATGGTCTTATGGTATTTTGCTAATTTTTCCTACGACTTGTGTGCACGAATGATATGTTTCTGGTAAGAAAAGATTCCAACGAAGAAATAATCAAGCTTTGTAAATTTGCACCCATTCATTGTGGAAAATATTCATCGATTCATCTAATAAATCATAAGTCGACGTCCATCTTTCTGAGCATCATTTTTCACACCAACAGTATCTCACAAAACGCCTCATAGGAACATTACGGTACGAGTTATTGCCCATAAAGTCTTCC